TTAGAATATAATCTTAATTATAATTGTAGATATTGCTTTTTATAACACGTTATATCAATGAAAATATATTAATCGTAAGCTATAAAGAAAGTCTGGAGAAATTGATGGTCTCAATTCCATATTCCGTACATCATACTCCATGTTACGATACTCTTCGTTTTCATCCTCACCTATTAGGTTATCACCGCTTCCTCCTTGGTCATAGAGGCGTGCTCATAAGTCATAATCACAAGATTTTCCTGAGACTCCATTGGGTCAAACGTTATTTTTCTTTACTTGTCCATTACAATGATTGTAAATTATCCTTCATACCCTGATTAATTGTTGTAACGTTTTTAGCGAAAAAATGAATGTTAAATAAAAATATTAACTATTTTGTTTTGTTACATAAGAGTGTGAGAGTGAAGATAAAATATAATTATTCTCTGTATCCACGGAATAATGTTGAATAAAATATTATACCATGGCAAAGCAGCAATTGCATAAATGTTGCAAGACCGTGAAAGTTACAAAAAATAAGTAATAAGCACAATCGTTTCGTTTCTGTACAGTTATGTGTGTTTAGAACATTACTCATCTCAATATTAATAGTAAGGACAGGTAACTCCATTTCACAAAATATTCCTCTTTATTGTTTAAACTCAAATCTGGAAACCCTAACTCATCAACGACCAGGAGTCAAACGCCGTAGTCACTAAAAATATTACATATCTGGTCGTCTTCAGGATCTAAGTCAAACTCAGGATATGTACAACCCGTTTTATTGTGCAAACATAAGCCTAGTAATTCGCTTTATTGTGTTTTGCTGCTAATGTAAGTATCTTCTTAATCTACCATCAATTTCTTCATTACATTTCTCTCGATTGTTTGATCTTTCGTAATTCTGTCAGTTTAAAACTAAATGAATGCTCAAGTGACATTGTGTACAAGGTTTGGTAGATTGTACATTGAAATATAAAAATGATGTAATGAAGAAAGAACATTAAAAAATATTTAATCAGTCATTCAATACTTAAAATACATAATAATTTTTATACTTTAAGATTAGGTATTTATGTGGAGCAGTTGTTACTAACTATAGCTTTTAAATTAAGTATTTCAAAACTATTCAACCATACAGAATGCTATTTGCCCTGGATCGTAGTAAGAACTGGATTGTATAAAGTATATTTTCTTATTGTTAGGGTTCAGTTTAGATATAATGTCACTTAAGTGACGGTACTAGCCATTCTATTTAAAGACAAGTTTAATGTACATACTTCCAACCACTCATTTTGCTTGAAGATTTGATTTCCTTGACAACCAAGTTAAGTAATCTATCGTCTTACAAGCATGGGATTGGCTTCTATAAAAAAGGTAAGATGATCTTTTTGCTGATCGATCACTTCATCAGTTCTATTTAAATGTAAAAAATGAATAGTTTAGCTGTGTTTAAAAAAAAGTTACAGAATTTAGTTTTATCAGTTGGTTGGAAGCTTCAAGTTATATTGATCAATCAAATATGCTTTTGAAGGTTTTGAAGAAGGGACGCCAAAATGGAGCGTTGCAAGCTCCGCCTGTAACAGAAGATTTGTTCGATTAAGAGGTTCCGAGCGCTTGGAGCGCTCGGAGTGCTCCGAACTCTAGCCCGAACACGCGTTCTTGCTACGAGCGCTCCGAGCGCTCCAAGTGCACGTGACTTAGGCTGCCTGTGGATAGCTGTGTAAGATCCAGCTAACCTATATTATTTTTAATAGTAATCAATGATTCATAAAAACGAATTAGAAAGTGGTTGTCGACAGCTCTAGTATAGTTAAGAGGTGAAAAAGCTGATATATGTTTTTAAAAAAAGTTTCTTAAAAAAGTTTTTGTTTTAAAGTTTTACCAAGTTTTTTCTAAAAAGAAAAAACAAACGGTAAGTGTTTTTTTTATGCTTCAATTAATGAGATTAGCTAAGCATTTACGAATTCGCTATAGACTTTGATTAAATTGCGTTGTGGCGAATGTGGATATGATATTGAGGATGATCGAATTTTGAAACATAATTGTCTCTCTCAATATCGGGAAGTTGAACTGATGGGCTTTTACGTATACCCCCCTCCTGCTAGAGGTAGGTACATATCAGTACTCTTTATAGAATAAAATTTTCTAAAATCAAATGCTGATCTATCAATATTTTAGGATGTAAAAAAAATAATGCTTCTTATATATCTACTGATTCCGAGACTTGGATCAGAGTTGAAGAATCTCCAATTGCAACTTGTAATTCTGAACCAGCTAATCCACGACAGGAAGCTGCAGAGTCGTTGTTAACTCTTTCAAGTCCAGTTGCAGTATTCAGTGATGTGACGAATTCAAATCAAGCTAGTACATGCAGTACAACTAATGACAACTAAACAGATGGTGATCAAGCTTTCTTCGAAGAGTCTAAAATCTTCAAGTGGACAGATAACAGCGTAAAACTGTTGCTAAACTTATTTGGCCAGTAACAACATCTTTGTGATCAGGGAAAATTGAGTAAAAAAAAATGTACAAGAAAATAAGTCGTGAAATGTTGATTCAAGAAAATTATACGGTTTCTTATAAACAAATTGCTAATGAAATGAAATTATCGGAAAAATCTTACAAAAAAAAAAAAAAAAAAAATTGACAACCAGGGACCTAAGCAAAGTGAAAGAGGAAGAATAGATATTCCTTTTTTTAAGTATATGAATATAATCGACTGTAATAGTATTTTAAAATAAATGTAAACAATTTTATTTATGTACATTAATGTTCCTTGCTAGTGAACTACAAGATCTTTTCGGTAAGAAACATGCAGTCCATCCCTCTCATCTTCTCACTCAAGATTGGGAGCAATCCTTAGATGAAGAGGAATCAACGAATTTTTTGGATGAATCAATAGATAAGTAAGTCATAAATTTTATTAAATAAAATAATATACATTTTTTACTTCTCTTTATATTGATTTTTAGGAATAATGGCAATAATGACAAAGTACAAAATAAAAAAGTTAAACGAACCAAAGTCAACATAAATCTTACTGAATCACAAGAATCTATAAAAAAATGTAGACACCAGGAGCTGCTAACCAGGCAAGATGCCTTTTTACAATTGCAGTCTAAAAAATTAGCAATTGAAGAAAAAAAATTGAAGTTGAAAGAATTAAAGTACAAAGCAAAGTACAAAGTTAGTGTAGAATCTGACGGAGATACGGAGTAGTACGGAGTAGATTTGTTCGATTAAGTTGTTCGGAGTAACTCAAAGTGTCTTTTTCTGTGGCCAAGTATTACATTTGTTTGATCAAGGTGTTCGTAGCATTCCAAGGAATTTAAAAGTCATTGAGGTGTTTTCGTACACCGATTTATGGCCAGTATAAAAAATACGAATATGTATCTCAACGGCTTTTAGATTAATTAGAGTACTCTGAACAGCTTAATCTAATAAATCTGCAATAAGTATGAGCAGTCAAGTNAAGACAGACAATAGATTTGTTCGATTAACTCGGAGCGCTCGGAGTGCTCCGAACTCTAGCCCGAACACGCGTTCTTGCTCCGAGCGCTCCGAGCGTGCCATTAATTTGTTGAAATAAATTTATGCTCTCAATACCATACGTGTATTTTAAATTGTTTATTAATAAAAAAAATAAGTACTTATATGAATACATATTTAAAAACAGTTTTTGCCATAAGAAAAATAAAATTCATCATTTTTTATACTATTCAACAAGTTTTCCAATTCATCATCTTGCGTCTGAGGGACGAACTGCTGGTGTAGCTGCTGGGGTTGTTGCACTTGTTGCTTTATTTCAAGCATATTTGATTCGACACTGCAGTTGTTTACGGCAGTTTCTTCAATTCTTAAAAAAAAAAAAAAAAAATAGTTACAAATAGTTCACATGTTGTAAATTTGCGTGTTTCCTTTGTAAAAATTAAAAAAATTAAATAACACGCTTTACGCCTATGGTACGAAATTTTTTCTTTTGCTTACTTGTCGTCATTACTCGCAAACGAACAACAGTACATTTCGTTGTCGAAACTTGAAGGTACGAGGACTTCAGAGCTCATTACATGCGGTGTCTGTTTAGGAATGATAATCTGTTGCGTAGCCGCGTAAAATGGTACTTCGACTTGCTGATGGTACGTAGGTAACAGTTGTTGCGGTTCGTACGATAAAGGCTGGAGATGCTGCAATTGTTCGCCGGTGTTGATTTGTACCGGTTCCAGTATATTTTGGGAATGCTTCGTTTTGCCATTTTTTACTTTTTTTTTTAGATCAGGGTAGTTTGAGTTTTCTTTTTTTGACTTCATTCGACGATTTTGGAACCATTTTTGCACTTGACGTTCCGTGAGGTTGAGCTTTAGCGCCAAATTTAATCTTTCCTTCCGATCCAAATACTTAGAGCTGCTGTATACTGCTTCAAGCTCTAAAAGCTGCGGAGATTTAAACACTGTCCTCGCTCTTTTTGTTTTTGTTTGTCCTAAAAATGTTGAAATGTATACGTTAAACGCGTTGAAATAATTTTAAGTAAAATTCGATCTTATTGTTAGATAAATGATTTTTACGTGAAAAAGTGAATGGTATGAACTAGGCATGTTTGATGCCGATATTTTCAATGATACTTTTTGTCTCGTTATATAATTTTCGGGTTTCGATCTTGTCTCGGAATCTCAAATATAGTGATAAATACAGTATTTTGTTTAAATATTTGATTAAAATGACGTATTTGTATAGGAATGGGACACCCAAGTATAAGTAGCATTTATTAAGCCAGGTGGAGCGACCATGTATGGCTTCAAAGTTACATTACAATGTGATATATAATGAAAATGTTTTTTACAAAAAAAATGTTCTTGAGTATTCAAACAGAGATAATAAAGACTAACTTGTAAGATTAGTAAATAAAACGTAATCGATACTGTCACGATTACAAAATATTAAATGTAAAGTTTTAAGTGTATAAAGTCTAGAACTGTTTTTATATCGTTATGTTATAAATAATATAAATTAAAATAGCATACCAATGTAATAATACAAAATAAATTAAGTATTTGAATAAGTTTAATAAAAGTTAAAATAAATTATTTTATAATATTTCAACTCTGTCAAAACTGCCCATCTCTGAACGTGTNATATGTATGTATGTATATATATATATATATATATATATATATATCATTTTCGTTTTGAAGAATACTCTAGCTGACTTGCTTCGCCTTATATATATGTATATACACACACGTTTGCCCTGTGCTTGACTTCCGTATCTTTCAGGAGGAGCCCCACGGGACGTCTATTCGGTCTCTCTATTCTGTGGTTGTACGCGCGATAACGAGGGGCTGGCTAGCGCTTGCACACAGTACATCACATACATATATAGGCAACTGTTGAATGTCGCGCCTCGTTATATGCGGGGTCTGTACACCTACTGTGGTGTACCAACGGGGGATACGCGCCTATATATGTATATGTAGGTAAAGCTTTTGTCGGGTGTTTTCGGTTGTATGATATACGGGGGATGGGTGTACACATGTATACATGTGAGCGTCACAGCGTGTTTTCATTTGTTTTATTCCACTTGGACCTGCGGAGATCTCATTGCTCTTTTTTTTCCACTCTCACGCCCAGGACTTTTTCTCTCTTCCTCCCGTGCTTCCTATATGTGCGAGATTTTAGAAGAGGAGACAAGTTAAGGTAAGTGTCCCCTGGTATAAGGACAACCTCGCAAATTGAAACTAGTCTAAAAGAATACTGGTTGAAAAAAGAGAATAGTGCGTTTGACAATTGATTTTAAAGGCATCCCATGTTGTATTCTTAATGCATTTTGATTAATTGATTCAGTTTGTCATCCGCGTGCAAATTAATTTGTTATCTTTCGAGTCACGAAAAAAGCAATTAATACTGAATACAAAACCAAAGTTTTTTTTTCTCTGATAAAACTGCAGAGACCTTTGAATGCTATGGAAAATAACATCATTGAAATACGTATAAATATGTAAATTAAACGAGTATGAGAGAGATGGAGAAAAAAAAACGTATTTTTGGTGTGTCACTGTAAGCCCGCTATGTGTACTCGAACCTTCGATGTTTGGGAGAACGTGCAAAAGTTTATTATGATAGGTACACAAATTGATGAGTATACCTGTACGTTTGGAAGCGAGGAGAGAATCTTATCCTTCCCCCAATTAAAATAAGTCTACAAGCTACTGTGGAACACGTACAGATATACCTATAGGTATATACCGATCAGTGCAGTCAACACATTAATTCGCTCGCGATCAAATCAGATACGAGTTCTCTTCCTTGTTTTTACCACACACGAGTATATTTCATGCGTGTATAAATAAAACTACCCCTTGCAGAGCCGATATATACGAGTACAGGTGAATATGGGATAAAAGATCGGCCCTAATAAGGCGAAAAATCGGCATTTCCGAAATTCCAAGTCTCCCCACACGCGAATGGATAAATAATCGGGGGGGAAGAAGGAGCCCCCCTTCGTGATAAACGTAGGCCCCGCCGAGTCCCTCGTGTACCTACACTTGTAATTTCCCTCTCTCCGACACTGCGCGCATTAAATAAGAAGCATGATTTTTTTTACATCCTAAAATATTGGTAGATCAGCATTTGATTCTAGAAAATTTTATTCTATAAAGAGTACTGATATGTACCTACCTCTAGCAGGAGGGGGGTATACGTAAAAGCCCATCAGTTCAACTTCCCGATATTGAGAGATAATGATGTTTCAAAATTCGATCATCCTCAATATCATATCCACATTCGCCACAACGCAATTTTATCAAAGTCTATTGCAAATTCGTAAATGCTTAGCTAATCTCATTAATTGAAGCATAAAAAAAAACACTTACCGTTTGTTTTTCCATTTTAGAAAAAACTTGGTAAAACTTTAAAACAAAAACTTTTTTGAGAAACTTTTTTAAAAACACATATCAGCTTTTTCACCTCGTAACTATACTAGAGCTGTCGACAACCACTTTCTAATTCGTATGAAATAAAATAAAATCGTTTTTATGAATCATTGATTACTATTAAAAATAATATAGGTTAGCTGGATCTTATACGGCTATCCACAGGCGGCCTGAGTCACGTGCACTTGGAGCGCTCGGAGCGCTCGGAGCAAGAACGCGTGTTCGGGCTAGAGTTCGGAGCACTCCGAGCGCTCCGAGCGCTCGGAACCTCTTAATCGAACAAATCTAATAGTAGTTATCTATGTATTATCGATTGTCTCTGTTTGCTCTGTTAACAGCTGATGCCTCTTTGATTCGCTATCGTTGCTGTTCGAGGGAACAAGATGGGAACAACTGTTTTAAAAATTCATTTAAAAAAAAAAGGGTGTCTCGCATTGAATAGTATGTAGACCGAAACATTATATGCTTTTTTGTTAGTTATCGTAGGAAAAAAAAAAAAAAATACATGTTCCCCGTCCCGGATAAAGATATGCTGGATAATCATCATTTTTGTTTAATGCATTGATTCGTCGCTCATGTATGCTACATGGTGTGAATAGTACCAATAAAAAGATGTGAAAGAGTGACATAAGCAAAATATTGATGTATCACTATGTTTAGGGTACTGACCTTACACTTGTGTACTGTACTTTTGCAAAATTTCAAACAAACTCGTTTAACTTTCATTACCCGAAGATGTTACGAAAATATAAGTACCCACCGTTTCGCGATGCCAAGAAGAGCGTAAAAAATATGGCCTCGTACGCGAAAGCAGAGAAAAGACATGAAAAAAAAAAAAGAAAAAAATTGAGCGAAAAAGAATAGAGAGAAAATCCTCGGGTTGTTCTCTTTCGGCATTGGCTCGCGGTTTCCATGGATGCATCGATCTGCCCTGGCCCCATCGCTCGCTATACATATATATCACGCCTATAACAATACACCCCGACCATGCATCCATCCGTCTTTGGATACAGTACGCGCAGGTACCTTTAGTCTGGCGTTTTACAAACGCGTCGTTTCCCTTTTTTGTATCTACTAATAATTTATTTTTGTTGCGTACAACTTTTGTCTCGCCAAAGGTCCATAGATGATGATGATGCCCTCTATAATTAATGAGAAATAATTGAGATGCAATTTTACATAAAAAAAAATATGTAACTGCAACACTAAGCTTCTGACATTCGAAAAATGCAAACGATTGAAGTTATCTCTCGATCCTCGTTTTGGCAGTCAACTCACAAGTCAACCTCAAAATCTTAGCGCAAGCACCCCCGATGCATCTCAAAATTCCAAGTACCTCTCGTCATTAAAATCTAAATCATCGGTGAAACAACGATGCAAATCAACGATAAATAAATTTAAAAAAAGGAAAAAAAAAAAAAAAAAAGTAAACGTCCAAGTTTGTCTTTCCCGCAATGGCCCTGAAAAATCTCAAGCAAGGCTTGTCTCACCTTCCAACGTGGAAATCGCAAATGGTAATAAAACACTTTTTCCCCCCCATATGTATAACCACCCCAAAGCAACACAAAATAAGAATAACCCCAAGAAAAAACTTTGTCCTCCTTTTGTCCTTCCAGTGCTCCTCGATGCTCCAACTGCACAGCAGCCCGACGGGCCATAATTTCTGGAACCTCCTCAACGCCTCGGTCTCCAACGAACCAACGGCTCGAAATCGCCAAAGGAAACCTAACGCTGCCCCTGTCCCGCAAAGGACGCACGCCCCGATCAAACGAGCCGTCACCCAGCCGATCCGGCTGATTTTCGAGAACAACGGCGAAAGACGAAAATCGGTAAACCTCGGATCGCGCGATAAATCATCCCTCGGCGAGTTTTGGCGCCGAACCACCTGTCCATCGGCGAAGGTTAGTAAACTCTCACCCTGTAATACCGATCCCTCCCCCTTTATGTCTCTCCTTTTCCGAATAAAAAAAAAAAAAAAAAAAAGGAAGCGTCGCCCCACGAGTACGGTCCGGGAGCACAGAGGGACGAACCGACAAATCGGAGCTTGTGCATCGTGGGAGCGGGCGTCGAGCCGAGCGCCAGCAGAGGCCCCAGGAGAGCTTACTCGAGCTTTGCTGCTACCCAGCGCCGTTTGTACGTCGAATGTTGGAATGTATCGATGCACGGAATCATCGGTGGGATTGTATCGATGGTTGTTTATTTCAGAGCCGGCAAAACGGTGCGGTCGATGAGTTCGAGCCCGGTGCTGTTGTTCGGCGACAGATGGGAGAAGCGGCCGAAGGAGCTGGAAAAGAGGAAGAAGCGAATGAGCAAGGAAATCAAGCAGATCGAGGAATGTCTGAGCATCAAGCACAAGAACGAAGCCGAGAAGAACGGGAAAGGGGGGAAGAAGGGTAGTAAAAAGAAGTCACCGGCCGATAAGAACGAGTGACGCTCTATGTACGTAATTATATATCCTTGCTTTTCCAATCGCTTGTAAATTGCATCCATTGCAAAAAACAAAAAAACAAACAATCGTGCAATATTGGCTGTGTGTACCTATATGTACAGATGTGTTATTGTAACGGTATAGAGAAGCCACGGGCTCTTCCGGTGCATAGACCTATATAATGTGCGTGTGTAATGGGTGGATACGTGTTTCGATTCCCCTTCGGTGGTGGCAATTA